TATAATTTTTAAAACATTCCTTTTAAAGTTTCGATTCTGAGTTGCTTTCCTAAAACTGTGTAACCCAGTATTGCCAACTCTCACGATTGTTTTCCGAGTAACAGAATTTCAGAGGGAGCTGGAGCTCGTCTCACGATGACACAAAACTCTCCAGCCCCCTTGCAAAGTTCAGCCCTGAAGGAATCAGAAGCGTCTCTTCCATCCATGCTCGCTGTTCTCACAGGTGAGGAGGGAGCAGAGTGCCCCTCACTCCTTCTCCCTTCACAATGCAGACAGCTCCTCACCCCTTTCCTCTTTTTCCCTGGCTGCAACACCCACCCCCTGCCTGAAAGGGGATTGAAGAACACCCCAAGAGCTATAGCAGCAGAGGGGAAAAACTGATATGTAGGTTGGGGGACAGACAGAATTGGTGTGACAGGCAGATGTGGAAACTGAGGGGAAAGGATTGATTTGGAGGCTGAGGGGGGCAGAATTAATTGGAGGGCAAAGGACAGACAGTTATGGGGTTGAGAGCTCCTGCAGCAGGAGCCAAAGTCACCATATTCAATAAATTTGGGAGAGTGGGCAGTGCATCATCTCTCTCGCTCTCACACACATGGGATAGGTAGGGAGAGTTAAAAATCAAGAGACCCAAAAACAGTATAATCTTTCTTTTTAAAAAAATCTCTTGGGGGGGGGGCAAATCTCATGATTTTGGAGGATCTAACTCCTGATTTTTGATCTCTTGAGGTTGGTAATGCTGGTAACCTAACAAGAACTTCCCTTCCTTCTGCCACAGTGTTGCACTAACTATTTATGTGACACAAACACTCATCTTCATCTCAGGTTTTTTTTGGCCCCAAGTGCTTACAACACATGACAACAATGAATAAGGAAGCAGACATTGTCCGATATACGTATTATATGTAAAATCCTACAGATATGCCTTTTGATCAGTTTCTCAGAGAACACAATAATATGCTTTCTTTCAGCCCAATAGTTTTTTCAACCAGTAAAATAGAACCAGATTTGCATGCTGTTGGAGCAAAAAAATAAAAAAAAAGACAGCATACTAACTTACTCTCATGCTTAATAGATGGAGCCAACATTTTAAGATACGAATTTTACCACTTGAGAGTAAAGAAAATCTAGCATTTAAAGTAAAATCACACTGTTTAGTGGATCTGCTACAGAAAAAAATGAAATCAGGAAGTAAACCTATAGCAGTGGATATTTTTTAACTCCTACAAAATTGAGAGGTCACCCATGCAGAGAGATGTGGGATGTTGCATCCCAAAAACAGTATATGAATAAAAATTTGGAGTATTTGTGCAATGTGAAAATCTTGAAATGAAACAAAATTTGACAACTAACATCCAAAATCTAAGTCTAGCCTCCTGGACATTCTATGCAGAGTACAGTCCTCTTCTCCATTGGCACCAGAAGACACTTAGAACTATTAAAGCTAGAAAGAGAAATATGGCTCTGAAAATCATATTGCTTTTCTTGCCAGGATCAATATGTTTGTGACAGTCAAAAAAAATTTTTTTTTCTCTCTCCTACAGAATTTTACTGAGTCTGGCTACTAAGGAGGCAGACTATACCCAAATGGTAGAGGAACTGGCTTCAAAGGGCAATTAAACTGAGGGGAATTTTACATTGCCTAATAAGAACTTTTTTATTTTTGTTTATAGGTACATAATTCACTGCCACTCTGCTTGTTGGGTCATTAAATAACAATAAGTTCTGTGTATTCATGTCTAAAACACTACAGTTTGGAAAAAGTACCTATAATACTTGTGTAATTATCCTGCATTTATGCAAATGCTTTGTGGATATACCAAATATTTAGCTTTTGAAAAGTCTTTAATCAGAATAATTGATACCAAATTTATTCTAGTTCTACAGTACTAAAAATAGAAAGCATTCTGAAATAATGCTAAATAAATAATGTATTAATACTTATCACTTTATGTATTCAGAGTGAGTTAGAGATATAAATCCTCACAATACTCCTGAGTGGTAAAATAGGGCCAAATAAGGTATTAGAGAAAAGTATGTTTCTTAGCAGCGTCCATTGACCCACATGTGCATAGTGCATCCCCTCATGCTCCTAGCCGAGGGGCTAATAGGTAGTGTGGGTCGACATCTCTCCAGTCTCACTCTTACTGTAGTGGAATCCAGTCCGTAGCAGAGGTGATGGAAGGCAGGTAGTGGAATAAAGATAAGGACCACACATCTCGAAGAACCTCCAGTTCCAGGTAAGTAACCTCCTCCTCTTCTTTGAGTGATGGTCCCTAGGTGTATTCCACATATGGGTGGCTCACAAGCAGTGATCAGCATGGACGTAGGTGCAAGGATGCCAGTGGAAGTGGGGTCTGCAGTACGGCTTCACCTGTGGTGGCATCTGTAGCTTCCGCTTGCATGATGGCGCAATGCGTCGTGAAAGTGTGGACAGTGCGCCACATTGCAGCATAGCAGATATCTAGCCAGGACACCTCCACTCATGAGGCAGACATGGTAGCTTGTGCTCGCGTAGAGTATGCTATCAGATGGGGGGGGGGGTGTTGGATTGGTTGTAGCTTTCGCAGATGCACCCCGACACTCATTTGGAGATGCATTGGTGTGAAAGGGCTTGACCCTTGGACTGCTAGGCAATGGCCACAAATAGTTTTGGTGATGCACAAAAGGGTTGAGTCCTGAGTAGGTAGAATGCCAATGTATGGCAGATGTCAAAGGAGTGAAAGGCTCTGTTAGTGGGGAAAGCATGTGGTTTGAAGCGGAAAACCAGCAGGTGGATGCTCTGATTTAAGTGAAATTCTGACACCACTTTTAGGAGGAATTTAGGTTGGAACTGTAAGGACACTTTGTCCCTGTGGAATAACAGGTAGGTGGGATCCGCCATCATGGCCGCTAGTTTACTGACCCATCTGGCTGAGGTAATGGCTACCAAGAATGTCACTTTCATTGAGAGGTGGGAGAGTGAGCATGTTGCTAGCGATTCAAAGCGTGGCTTCGTGAGGATGGAGAGTACGAGATTAAGGTCCAGCGGGGATGGGGGCTTGAGTACTGGTGGAAAGGTGTTAAGTAAACCCTTCATGAAGCGAATAGTGGTGGAGTGCGTAAAGACCAAGGTGCTATCCACAGGAGCGAGAAAGGCACTAAGTGCTGCCAGGTGCACTCATATAGAACTGAGGGCTAGGCAGTAGTAGAGAACGACTGGAATAGACACCATGTTTAGTGAATGATGGGGGTAGCAGGCCCATGTTGTGAAGCGTTTCCATTTAGGTCAGTAGCAGGCTCTGGTGGAGTCTGCTGCTTTGGGTAAGGATTTGTTGCATGGGCAGTCTATCTTGACGCCCATCCAAAAATCAGGTTGTGAGATGAAGAGAGCCCAGACTGGGATGACGAATATTCCCGCAATCTTGTGAGAGTAAATCAGGGAGTGTGCGGAGGCAAAGTGGTGTGCAGGTGGAGAGTGAGGAGGTCTGTGAACCAGAACTGATGGGGCCAGAATGGGGCTCCAAGTCTGACGATGGCTCTGTAGCACCTTGCGTAGCACCTGTCATAGGAAGGGAAAGGCGTGGAGGGGGAGAGTGTCGTTCCGAGAGCTGTTTTCTGTTGCTCCCCTGGAACAATAGCGGGGCAGCTTTCAATTCTTGTGATTGGCAAAGAGGTCCCATCGGGGAATGCCCCACTTCGCGAAGAAGTACTGGAACATGGCGTCGTGTAGCTCCCACTTGTGACTGAGATAGAGCGTCCTGCTGAACATGTTGGCTAGGGAATTCTAGGTGCCCGGTAGATGTGTGGCTTGAAGCATCACATCATTCTTGATGCCCCAGTTCCAAAGCTGGACCAACTCGTAGCAGAAGGAAGGGGATCTGTCACCGCCCTGCTTGTTGATGTATACCACTGCCACAACGTTGTCTGAGAACATTTGGACATGGAGGACCTGAATGAGTGGGAGGAAGGCCTGGCACGCTAGCCAGTCTCCCCACAGTTCCAGCACATTTATGTACATCCTGGCTTCCTGTGGTGACCACACGCCCTGAGGTGTGTGCTGGTGTAAGTGGGCTCCCCACCCCGTGAGGGAGGCATCCACTGTGATGGTGGCCTGTAGTGTGGGAGGGGCGAAGGGAATATCAATCATAATCTGGGAAAGATTGGACCACCGTCTGAGGAAGGCCAGCACAGTCCGAGGAATGATGACCCTGGCCCCCATAGGGTCTTGGCTGGAAAGGAGCCAAGTTTGAAAACAACACATATGGAGATGTGCGTGCAGTGTCACGTAGGTGCACGCTGCCATACGTCCAAGGAGGGAGAGACAGCAGCGGACCGTGGTGCGTGGTCTGTGACGCACGTCTTCGATGAGGGCTGTCAGCATTGTGAAGATGGTCTTCCAGGAGAGAGGCTTTCGCATGACAGAGTCAAGCACACTCCAATAAAATTGATCGCCTGTGTAGGCATCAACACTGACTTCTCCTCGTTGATGCAGATACCCCTATTTACAATTATATGCACTGAATGAAAGGTACACCACTCCCATAAGAAAACTAAGAGCATGAAGGAACAGGGGTTCTGACTCAGGCCATGTGGCGGTAAGAGGGAATTGGAGAGGCATCAACCTGCACTACTTATTCTATCCTTGGCTGGGAGCACGAGTGGACGCACTACATATGTGCGGGTCAACAGACACCACTAAGAAACGCTTACGGACTCAGTCACATGGCACACCTGCACACCCACATGTGGAATATGTGTAGGGACCATCATCCAAAGAAGAATCAAATCTTCTTCATCTCTTCTGTAAGAGCTTATTTTTATTTTAGCCTATGATGTAGTCATATACAAAATTAACAGAGGACAGAAAAATCCTACTGGCAATTGGCTTCTGCCTTATTGAAGCCAATAAAATGAGCAACATAGCCGGTGATGTTTCCGAAGAGATGCATGGAAAATGTAGAGAGAAAGAGAGACATCATAATTGACAACATACAGAAAAAGCAATAATGTTAACTTACCTCAAATTTAAGTAAGTCAGCATTTGTAAATTCACTATGGCATCTGGAATAATTTTAATACAATTGTGGTATAGATTTAGTGTTTCCAGTGACACAAAATGGCACAGCTCCATAGGAACTTCAGTTAATCTATTCTTGGACAGATCTGAGGAGAGAAAAAGAAAAAGCACATTTCTGAAACATCAAAAATATATACTTTAGACAGCTATTTTTCATTATTAAAATAAATATTGCCATCATGGGCATAAAAGAGGGAACTATCAATATTTTTAATAATTCAGAACAAAATTATTAATAACCCCTGGAAGCTTGAAATTGAAGTCTGTTACATACTGACTGTGAAATATTAAATTGCCTATTATTCAATTTAATTAAAATAATTATTCACTGGACTCAAGATGTTAAGAAAAAACATCTATTAGGTTTGAAAGCATAACTTCTGAAATTTGCACTTCATAGCAACAGAATATAGCCAAAGATTAATACCAGCTGTGTAGATACTGATTAGCAGCTATCAACCAATCTAGCCACTTTCTAATACTTATATAAATGTATTCCTTAATAGTAACCCATATGAATATTACTTAAAGGCACAACTAATGTTTGTTTTCTGGGGCTGATGTATAACTTTTTCAAGAACAACAAAAGAAGAGGCAGTACAGCAAGTATACAGAAGGACTGTCTGATCCATCAAGCAAAAGTCCATATCTGACAGACTTACTTTAACCACATAGTTTTGTGAAGTACTAAGATGGCTAAATGACAGGCATACTGTGAAGATACAGATCAAAGATTTACATCCCATTTTTCACTTTCTGGAAAATCTAAGCATTTCCCCAAGATGTTCACTACCTTATATAGCCCCAAACCTGCAAGCACATGCCCAGGGGTGGAACTTTGTGCCCCGGATGGCTCCACTGGAGCCAGGGCCCAGCTGCAAAGGTTTGCCTGTATGGATCTGATTGCAAGATTAGGCCCTATGTTTGTAAATGACAGACTACAAGTGTGCCAATCATTACATGTCAAATGTGAAGTTGAAATAGATGAGACGAGTCTAGGGTAATATTAAGAATACTGATCTTAGACTAGATATGTTCTCAGAATTGTAGTTTTCTGAGAAGCTAATAACTAGGAATGTTCTATTTTTCTTGCAAATCTTGGATGCGAAAATATGTCCATTACAAACCAGGTCATTTATTTGAGTTCATTCTCTTACATAACCTTCCAAACTAAATCTTGTTTCCTAATTTTTAGGCAATGATTGTAGCATAATACAACAGGTAAAGATGTTAAAACTCTTCTGGGAAAGGATTGTCTTCCTGTGTGTGTGTGTGTACATTTGAATTGTCTCATTAGAACTGACTCCCCCCACTTGGTAAGGCAACTCCCATCTTTTCATGTTCTGTGTATATATATCTTTCTACTGTATTTTTCACTCCATGCATCTGATGAAGTGGGTTCGAGCCCACGAAAGCTTATGCCCAAATACATTTGTTAGTCTCTAAGGTGCCACAAGGACTCCTCGTTGTTTTTGCTGATACAGACTAACATGGCTACCACTCTGAAACCTATAGTATTACTGCAATTCTAATTATTAATAAAAATAATGTTAGTTAATTTATTTGAAGTCCAACTGGATTGCCAATTATCTATATAACTCCTTTGCTGTTAACTTGAACAAAATAGATTAGGTTAGCAATTTTTTTGTTTTGTTTCTTGTTTTAAGAACACACAAAGAACACACAGGTGAAATTTATAATAAAGGTAGCTTAATTCCTATCAAACCTGACAGTCTCTTTAAATACACAAAATGATGTCAAAATTTGGTATGTGCCCAGTTCATAAAGTACTGAGTCATGCATGCATGTGTGCAGCAACATTAGTTAAACAAAAAGGAGCGGCACTTCATATATCATCCCTCTTCACTCAACAGTGCGATAAAACTACCAACCTTCACCATCCTACTCTAGAACAAATAGACTTTTTCCCCTACATGTTACTAACAGCATATGTTTCAAATTCTGGTACCTCACAGAAAATGAGATGCACAAATGTAACAGCAGCTGCTCATATTTCAGAGCATTCATGCTTCACTACTAATAGTATGACAAATATGTTCCCTCCTACACAGCTGAATACCTACTGTGCTTAACCCCTCAAGAAAAGTAGTTCTTATTTCTGAAGCGAGTTGCCACAAAGGTCTTCCAAGTACCAGATTTTACTTCTGACTCTGAGATTATTATTTTGTTAACATGTTTTTAGGGTACATACTGATCATCTTTTGTGTAAGGCTATTTCTTCACAATTAAAGAAGATGAAACTTGATTACCCAACCCATTAACCCAGTCTTCTGGTTCCTGAAAGTTCAGTTCCTAGGTTTAATTTCAGCACACTTTATTCCTGGGTGCATTCTGAGCCAAAAAAGTAAAAATTCTGCAAAATTCTACAAATTTTATTTGTCAAAATAACACTACATAATCACACCAGTTTCAATTATTTTGCTAATTTATTTCAAAACACCTGTCAGCAAGTAAGTCTGTAACAATACAGACACACACAAAAATTCCCCCCCAGGAGTAGAACATAAGAGCGACCAAACAAAGGTCCATCTAGCCCAGTATCCTGTCTTCCAACAGTGGCCAATGCCAGGTGCCCCAGAGTGAATGAACAGAACAGGTTATCAAGTGATCCATCACCTGTCGCCCATTCCCAGCTTCTGGCAAACAGAGGCTTGGGACACTATCCCTGCCCATCCTAGCTAATAGCCATTGATGGGCCTATCCTCCATGAATTTATCTAGTTCTTTTTTTAAGCCTGTTATAGTCTTGGCCTTCACAATATTCTCTGGCAAAGAGTTCTACAGACTAACTGTGCATTGTGTGAAAAATATTTCCTTTCATTTGTTTTAAACCTGCTGCCTATTAATTTGCTGACCCCTAGTTCTTGTGTTATGAGAAGAAGTAAATAACACTTCCTTATTTACTTTCTCCACACCAGTCATGATTTCATAGACTTCAATCATATCCCCCTTAGTCTGTTTTCCAAGCTGAAAAGTCCCAGTCTTATTAATCTCTCCTCATACGGAAGCCATTCCATACCCCTAATCATTTCTTTGCCCTTTTCTGAATCTTTTCCAATTCCAATATATCTTTTTTTGAGATGGGGTGACTACATCTGCATGCAGTATAGAGGCAATATGATATTTTCTGTTTTATTATCCATCCCTTTCTTAATGATTCCCGGAGTTAAAAAAAAAAAACCTACGACAACCCAGTTCTTGTTTTTTTGCCCCCTTCCCCCTCCCGAAGTCCAGCCATGGGGCCCCCCTTTGCCCAGATACCTGCACCCCCTCTCCCCCAGAGCCCAGCTGCAGGCCCCCCCGGCCCAGACACCCATCCCCCTCTCCCCCAGGGTCCAGGGATCCAGAGGGAGAAACAGCCTGATGTTCAGTCCCAGGCTTGCACAGAGTTTCCTCTGCGCCACTCTCCCCTTCCCTCAGGGCATGTTGGGAACTGCAGCTGCCAGGAACCTTCTAGCTCCCACCCCCTCTCCCCAACAGTGTCTTCTATGTGCAATCTGGGCTCTTCCAGGTCCAGAAGGTGGCGTGTAGCAGCACTGCAGCCCATTTCTGTGTGGTGAAAGGAAATTCTGTGCGCACAATGTTAATTTCTGCAAAATTCTGCATTGCACAGAATTCCCCCAGGAGTAACACTTCATTTTCTGTTTTTAATTTTTTCACCACTTATAGGTCTAAGTGCTAAACAATTGCATGAACAATGCTGTCCAAGTGGCCCAGCACAAAATCTCCTTCCCTCCACGTGCCAGGGACAGTGGACTTGCATCCTGTATCAGCTTGTCCCTAGGCCTCAGTTGCTCCATTCTTCTCCAGCCAGCCTACCGGGTCAGCCTAGGCTTCTTGCCTCCAATCTGGACTCTAGGTCTGACTCCCTGACCCTGTGCTCTCCAGCTCAGTGAACAGTGTAGGGAACATGCATTGCAATCTAATTAACTCTTGTAAGAAAAGCTGGAGAGTGAGAGGCAGCTGAAAGCATGTCCTAGCCAGGCAGGGAGACAGCAAGCAGAATGCTAGGTGCCTGGTTGAAACCAAGTACTAACTCCAGCTCCAAATAACAGAATTGTGGATCTTAGAAAATAGACAAGTCCTGCAGCCACAGAATTGTGGAGTCTTCAAGCTTCTGTGTAAGATGAATGTAGCAGTTCAGCCACTGCATTTTCAAAGAGATGTAACAGCATCAGTTTACACTCTCTCCACGTGTTCAAGGTGATCTGCACAACCATAAGGGCTAGAAATTTTATTTTAATTAAAGCTGACATTCTAATGAACAAGTCTGCAGCAAGGAGTAAATTTCATCGCTAATTATGTGACCGCAGAATCATGGAATGCCAGGAGACAAGAATATATATATTACTGAGCATATCATGTAATAGAAAAGTTAGCTGTCAAAACTCAGCAGCCGTTCATGGTCAGCTTGTCTACCTAGCTGGTACAAGACCTAAAACTTCTTTGTGAGAGGCTCACACAATTTGCAGCTTGACACGGCTTAAATTCAGGCCTTAAATCATTGATATGCATAACATTATACTATTAACATTTTAATACATGGAATGTATCCGCACAACAAGCGTCATTGAGGACATAATTTAGCCAGAAGAACCTCTCTTATTGATGAGGAAACTATCCATGAAAGTATATTTTAAAATGAAATTTCCTGCCACAATTTAGACCCACCAAATAATGCTTTTGTTAAAATGTATTTAGATTACCTACATTATGTAGTCATGACAACCATTACATAACTTCTTTATTTCTGCAACCATGAAAATCAATTGGATTACTTGCATAATAAGCTACTCTTCAAATGTCATGTAGCAGAATCAAAGCATGTAACTCATGGTTACTAGAGCAAACCAAATTTACAGTGATAAAGTGGAACAGAGGAAGTATAAAATAAGAAAAACAAAATTTGTACAATAATCTTTCTAAAGAAAATGTAGCAAACACAAAGTAAGTGGTGATGTGATATAAAACGGCAACTTGTACTGGCTAGGGATGGCCTGTGTAAGTTATTTGAGGCTCTGTCACTATTTAGAAATGTGATTATACATACCTTGTGCCAATAAAAG